ATAACCACATCAAACCTCATGGGTTTTCTCTTGTTTCCTTCCACTGCTTAATCCCTATTCGCACAAGCAAACCTCATGGGTTTTCTGCAGGTCTTCTGACTTCCTCCCACTGTTAAGCACCTCTATGCGCAAGCAAATTATTGAAATAAAATTGTATCATGTTAGTCCTGAAATGATCTAGTTGGTATTGAGTAGACGCCTCTCTCTCTCCCTCTTTTTCATAACCACACCAGGCCATGTGCTTCAAAAGTTTGTGAGTCAGTCAATTCTTTCATATATTTTATTAGACTTTTTTTTTTTTCAAGATATTTTTTCCAGACAATATGACCATTTATAGTATTATCCCAATATTTACAGATATACTTTTAATTGTTTTTACATATAAAACTACAAATTTAGCTATATTTAGTGTCTTTAATGGTTAAATTCTCTGATATTCTAATTGTATGCCATGTTAATTCACTAACAGGTAAGTTTTACGGCTAATCAGTTTGACTACCATTCAAGGACAGCTGTCTAGTTGTTCGGATGGGATAAAAAAAACCGAGGTCGCATGTACACATTGGTGTGCACGTAAGAGATCCCTTAACATTTGGAATTCGATATAAGAGTAGGCTGTAGTGCCGCTGTCCGGGCAAGATTTCCCTCATAGCACACTGTATGGCGTATGCTCATCTTCATTAGCCCTGTTCGGAGCAGAACAGTAGGACGTTAAACCCCATTTCATTTCATTTCATTTTGACTACCAGTCAGTCAAGACAGGCTGTTATTACTGAACCAAGAGCCCTGAAGCAGTCAGTTGATTCAGCCAGGAATGTGGTTTGTTCTATAAATACAGAATGACATGATCATTCACTCGTATATTACGTTATAATGATGACTGTGAAGACGTTAGTTGATCGGATCAGGTGTTAATTACTGGGCTTCATACAGGAGATGATGAGAAGGGCATGTACAATCTACAAGGGAGGTAGTGGCATGATCGATGACGTCACTTCTTAGGTTATAAATAGTGTTAACACACGCGTACGGTATGATACCTAACATCTTTCTTCTTTTTTAGAAAACTATAAGTTACTGGAATGTATGATAATGCAACTGATTCCATTTATTTATATCTAGTTTCTGTAACCATTTAGACAACAGGGCCCTGTTTCTCGAAACTAAGCACTAAAATCAATCTACGATTATCCAATCAAATTACTAAAATTTGGATTTTATCTTAGTTAAAATTTCATGAAACAGGCCCCAGCAGAACCCTAATGAAGTAGTAAATATCTCGTAGGCTATATCGTGATTTCAGAGCACAGTCAAGGCTCCTCAGATTCATATATTTGTATGAAACACATTTTGTGTTCATTATCCCAAATGAGCAGGGGACTTATTCACACTTTTTAACTAACATATTAGGAATTCAGCTTTTTCGTTGGCTGAAAATTAAATTCATGATACAAACTATAGTCTTTAGCCAATGAAACGGCTGCATTATGTGAAGAATTGACTATCTGATAGTCCTGAACCAGAGTATGCTAGAAATGAGCATACCTTTTTAAATGCAATCAGCACACCTGGATTCATATATCTGTCACTAGGGACCGGGTATCATTCAGATTTGATGAAAAAAGGAAAGAAACTGAGCTTAGAATCTGGAATCTAATACTCGTATCCAGTTAATAGATTGCCATCCAGAAAGTGTTAAATGCCGTCGTCAAAATTCATCAAATAACGTCCAGTTTGTGCTACGTGTAGTTTAAGAAACACTGTTTAGTTTTGACATCGGTCGTCTTGTTTATGAAACTAAATGATGATAAACCAGACGACCAATATCAAAACTAAACTAAATGGTCATAAACTAGACAACCAATGTCAAAACTAAACAGTGTTTCTTAAACTACATGGTAGCAGAAACTGGGCGTTTTTTTGATGAATCTTGATGGCATTTAATACTTTCTGGATGGCAATCTATTGGATACATGTATTAGATTCTAGACGGTAAGCTCAGTTTCTTTCCTTTTTTCATCAAATCTGAATGATACCAGGTCCCTAGTGTGTTGTGAGCAGGTATTTATATAAATAACTGACTGATTATCAGTTTTTTATTTGGAGGGCACATGGTGAATTACACTATTTTCTCATGCAGATTGTCTCAATGTCTTTTACTAACCAACGTCTGTACAACTGTATTTTGTTTCATATCCACAGTCTGTATATGTAGCGATGGGAACAAGAATACAAAACAAATATTATGATTACAATTTAAAGCTTTAATTTGAATGAAATGACATCTCTATACAAATAATATGAACCATATATGGTTAATAAATACAATAAATAATACATATTACATTTCTATACACTGGTTGAACTAAATTCATTATTGAATTCCTTTTTTATTTCATTTTCAAATTATCAGTCCAACAGAGGGGGAGAGAGAGAGAGAGATCCGGGGGCTAGTCGTAAACGTCCACTGCGCTTAAGAGTGAAATTGTGCCCTAAAGGGTCTCTGTAGGAAAGCGAGAGAGAGAGAAATGGGGTTTAACATCCACTTGACACAAACTAGGTCATTTCGGGACTAACATAACATATGTCCCCAACAGATGATCAGTAACAAGCCTGAAAGTAAGGCACCTGTCACAGACAATGTCAGACATGAATTTAGGATTTGTCAGACACAAATTCTCAGGAGCTAGTGATTTGTTCTTGCACAGATTCACCTGTTCTATGTTTTTATCTTCAACAACAAATTCAAAATGTCAGGTAACGATCTGTTAAGTGTCACAAATATATTATGGTACGTGGACCAATATGATCATAGTAACTGTACGTAAACCGCCACATGAATTTAAGGCAACACAAATAAAATAACTTGTTTCTCGGGCACCGCCCGCACGCAAAATTGGTTGCGCGTGCAGTCTATTTATTAGTCTTGATGAAAAAAAATAAATATGTAACGCCCGCCCGCACATCGACAAGCAAGTCGTAAAAAAAATATCCCGCATGTACCTACATCCGCCATACATGTATATCTATTCAAATGTATTAAAACTGATTCAGATGAACATGCTGTCTTTTTTATCCGAACAATGGCGAAGTTTGGCAGATTTGCCTTTTTTTATTGATATCGAAAGAACCTCCATTTTGTATCACGTGATATTAATTACCTCCCCTGATAAACTAGAATTTGATTCGTGTTAAAAGTCATTGGCGACAATATTTCAATCATTCGATCGTAATCGGCTCATTATTGCCGGCTTCAGTCGGTCCTTGTTTGGAAAATCCTATTGATAAAATAATGAACAGTAGAACAGGTTAATTAATTATAGCTAAGAATACGATACGATGACGATAGTCGTCATAATGCATACCTTAGAATCTGGGTCATTATTAGCACATTTACGGTAGTTTCGATAATCCGGAAAATAATAATTGGATTACCGATTTGATGGTTTTACTGACCAGTTGTTAGTTAGATTTAAATAGTCATTCAATATAAACACGGGATAGAACACCGAATATCCTGAGAAACACACCGAATATCCCAAGAAACAGTATTTCCGGCAATCTCCAATACCGATGACACGGTGTGACATGCATTGGTTGGAATTCGGTAAATAATTATAAATAAACCGGCGATACTAGATTTAGTTTTAAATACTGTTTACCATGATTATTATTTTTGATACACCTGGTGAAAGAGGCTTAGTTTTTAAAAATATTGTTGTCTTTATGGAGGGCAATTACATAGTCGTATGGAATTTTATTTTAAACCAATTTCAATTATGTGAATTAAATATGGAAAATTATTTTCCTTTCAGTCAGTGTTCAGTCTCAGTGTTTTAGTAGACTTGATTTTGGGTTTATGTTTTAAGTATGTACAATAAAGTTGAATATAACGGAAAGCAAAAACGTAAACAAGTAATGACTTTCTCATTTAAAAAAAAAAAAAAAGAAAGACCACCCTCCCGCCCCAACAATTTTCAGCAATAGCCAAATTTTATTTTGCACCATCAATGAGTAAAAAAAAAAAAGAAACCGCCCTCCCTCCCTACAGTTTCAGCTGTCAGTTGCCCGAGAAACAAGACATTTATTTTGTGTGGCCTAATGTAAGGCAATAAATCAGAAGAAACAAATATTTTTGACATATAATTATCATTCCAAAAATATTTTTGACATATAATTAATTATTCCAACAAATTTTGACATATAATTAATTATTCCAAAAATACTTTTAACACATAATTATTATTTCAAAAATATTCCTGACATTATGAATTATTATTTCAAACATCCAAATATTTTTGACATATAATTAATTACTCCAAAAACTTTTGATATATAATTATTATTTTAAAAATATATCTGACATGTAATTATCCTTCCTGAGTATTTTGGGGGGTTGGATGGCTGAATGGTTAGTGTGCACGCGCTGTATCATAAAGTCTGTCATTGAGTCGACTGGCGTGGTTTCGAATACCCGGTTGTAAGTGACAAGGAGTAGGGTCGCCTATCCAAACTCGTGGGTTTTCTACAGATCCTCCAGTTTCCTCCCACTGCTAAAGACCCCTACGCGCAAGCGAATTATTGAAATAAAATTAAGCCACATGTTAGTCCCAAAATGACCTAGTTTGTGTCGAGTGGATGTTAAACCCCATTTCTCCCTCTTTGAGAGTCATCTTTCATCCAGAGCTTTAAGACTAACTTAAAAACACATTTATTTCAAAAATGTTTTTGTATTGTTTCGTTGTGAATGTGCTTAGAAACACTCATGTGTAATGAAGTGCTATATAAATCTCCAATAATAATAATAATAATAATAATTATTCCAAACATCCTAATATTTTTGAAATAAATAATTATTATTCCAAAATATTTTTGACATAATTATTAGTCCTAATTATTATTTCAAAATATTTGAACATATAATTATTATTCCAAACATCCAGATATTTTTTGAAATAAATAATTATTATTATAATAATAATTATTATTGTAAAATATTTTTGACATATAATTATTACTCCAAAGCATTTTTGACACATAATTATTATTCTAAAATATTTTTGACATATAATTATTATGCCAAAATATTTTTGATATATAAATTATTATTCCTATCATCTTATAATTAATATTTCTGACTTTTGACAAAATAACTATTATTCCAAAATATTTTGACATAAATAGTAAAAGAACCCTTCATGTTTCGAATTTAAAGAAAAGAGAAGACGGTTGAAAACCAGCCATTTCACTCGATGATAGGCTTTATGATCTAAAGTGCACATATTAGATCACTTAACCACCCTGAATTTCATAGGTGACAAGGAGTGTGTTTGTCTTCCTAACCGTGTGGGCTTTCTCAGAAATTTTGTGTTCCCTACCACTGCTAAAGACCCCTTAAACATGGAAATATAAATACACTATTGTTAGCCCCGTAAAGACTTTATTTCTATTGAGTTAAGTTAAACTCAGTTTCTCACCGCTTCCGCCCATAAAGAAACCTGGTCCCAGTTTCACAAAACATTCTCAGACTTAAGTTAAGAATTTACTCGAAATTGTTTGGTTATTTTAACTAAAATATATCCCTTTATAAAACGTTTGTTATTTTAATGTATCAAATACATCAAAAAGAAACTATGTGCAAATTTTGTGTTTCTGGATCAAAGATATTTCTCATAAACTGATTGAAAGTTGAGTAAATTCTTAACCGAAGTCTGAGAATACTTTGTGAACCTGGGGCCTGGAGAAAACCCTTGAGGTTATTACTCCTTGTCACATACAAGATTTTGATCGAATCCATGCCATTTGACTCAATGACAGACCTTATGATCTAGAGTGCAAGTGTTCAAAAAGAAGCTTGTTTTATCATGCATACCTTTTATAGTCATGTAATATGAAATTATAATGTATCAAAATGGAATGACTTCTATTAAGATCTATCAAGGATAACAAAATGGTTATCAAATTGCCATCATTTAAAAACAAATCATCATCAATTAAACTCACGTGAAATTACGTGAAAATTGATACATCATTTTATAAATCAATATTGATTCAAAAAGAGTCGAATCACGACAAAAATCTAAATAGAGACATGTCGGAAATGACATTTACAGCAATCAAATAGAAAAATAATAAAATAATATCTCCATTTATAAAGCGCTGGACTCACAAAGCGTGCACCTGATGCATAATATACGTGCCACTGAAAATTTGGCCAAAGCTGTCAGAAAATTCTAGCAGATGATTGCGCAATTCTATTTATTCCACTGAAGATCGGGTGGCAAATTCAATTTAGATTCTTGAAGACTAATATTCCAATCTAATCTCACTTATACATCCTTTGAAGATCACTTTTTTGGTAGGCTATAAATTCAGCTAAATCAGTGTCTAATCCTGATATTCAGCTAAATCAGTGTCTAATCCTGATATTCAGCTAATTCAGTGTCTAATCCTGATATTCAGCTAATTCAGTGTCTAATCCTGATATTTAGCTAATTCAGTGTCTAATCCTAATATTCAGCTAATTCAATGTCATAAATCAAATTCTTTTGTACCAAAAATGTCACTAAGGTTATCAATATTCGTATCCTTTGGAGAAAAATAAAACACCCTGTAAAAGTCACTTTTTGGTATATTCATCAAAATCACTGTCTAAAATTCGTGTTCTAATCATCATATTCAGCTAATTTTTTTTTGTCGTAAATGAAATAGTTCTATACCTCTATGGTCATATATAATTAAATATCGTTATAATTAACATGATTTTGATTGTTTTTTTTTTTCTGATTCGATTATTATTCAAGTCTATCACAGTTCTCATACATGATAACAAAAACATGAATAACACAGTTAAATCCAGTTTTATTTTAATATATCTATATCTATCTATGAGCATATGACGTCTCCTGGTCTGCATCCTCACGTGGTGCGTTTGGTTTACAAACCTCCATCATTAATAGTCGTTTATAGGCGTTCTGAAAATTTTTATCCATCAATGTGTAAATAATTGGGTTGACACAGTAGAGAATCCACGCCAGAAACGGAGCGAATAAATGGGCAATTGGCTGTGTGTATTTCGGATCAAACAGATTCGTCAAAAAATATGGCGTGGTGCCAAACAGAAAACCACAATATATACACAGCATCATTCCAGTGAGCCGCAGAGATTGTCTTTGAGCTTTTTGTTTACGGTATATACTGGCTCTGGAAACGCGTTTGCGAGTTCGATAGGCCACACTTCCGATTCTGGCATAACATATCAGTATAAACAAACATGGTATAACGTAGCCAAGGGTTATCACGGTAATCTTGTGAGATTTCTCCGCATTTTGGGTAAAAGTGCACCGCAGGATCATTTCCTGAAAGGAAAACGACCCCCATATTCCAGCCAAGGGAGTAATGACAAAACCAAGTGGAAAAATCCAGCAGAGTGCTATTATAGATAAGAATGGAACCTGTGTTGTGAGTCGATGGTAACTCTGAATATGTGCTATATGCAGACAACGATACAGGGCTATGGCACTTAACAACATCATGTTGACCCCAATCAGCCAAAGTCTAGCTGCGGCATGGAGCATGCACATTGCATCTGATAGTGGCCAGCCATTGAAATGGTAGGCAGCTGCTTGAAGCGGCAAAACAATCGCGCAGTAAAGTACGTCGGCAGAGCTTAAATTACCGATCAGAATGCTGTTGATGTTCATTTTCAGTGGTGATGTCACAATCGCGAACACAGTTAGAAGATTTCCCATGATTCCTGCGATACATAGTATAATAGTTATAGTTTCCATCATGGTCAGTACACCGTTACTTAAACACACAGCCTCCCCACATGGTGTGTCAAAAGTTTTGTTCTTAGTTGAGTTTACAATATAATCCATTTTAAAGTTTGTGTTTTGTCGTTTTTATTTTCCAATTGTCGTCTAATTTGTTCCTCCAGATTATATGTTACTTCAACTTCTTAGATCCATATTTAAACAGTTAAGGAGAACCTGAAACATATACAAAAGATTTCAGATTAAATAACATTTAAAGAAGAAATGTAGTGGAGAGAGAGAGGCGTAGTTTCGATTCCCCGCTTGTATGTGACAAGGAGTAGGGTCATCATTCCATCTTCGATGGTTTTCTCCCTGGTCCTCATGCTTCCTCCCACTGCTAAAGACCCCTACACACAAACAAATTTTTGAAATAAGAATTGAACAATATGTTAGTCCCGAAATGACCTAGTTTGTGTCAAGTGGATGTTAAACCCCATTTTCCTCTTATTACTCACTGAGCCCACTGTGGTTCCCCACCAACCTAAAAGAAAATGTAAATGCCGCTATCAGAATTTAGCTTTATTAAAAGAAATTATTAATGACCATAATAAAATATATTATGTCAAGTCCCACAGAAATCTGATTGTTTAATAACCATTTTTTCATCTGTTATAATAAATAATGCATTAACATTTAAGAATAGAAAAATCAAATAAACTGAAATATGAGTTGTTTATTACAGGAAAATAAAAAAATCAATAAGGGTTTTGTCTTTCTACTGTGCATTCAGGTTTCAATTTGTGGAAAAATCAATTTGATAAAGGAATTGAATTATAATTTGAAGAGTGTCTTAGCTTATAATGATTGCTGTCTCCCTTTCTGATTTAAAACTTGAGTTATTAAATATTAATTCATATTTACGATGGAACAACACAAGAGAATAGTTGAATTGTCACTTCTGTATCCATGGGCAACAGACAGACATAATTACAACAATTTCGATAGCTTAAAATTTTAAGACTAAGTACAATTACTGGAATGATATGAGCACAATATATTATCCACAGAAGACTTAATTTAAAGATAAATCAATTATCACTAGGTACCGGGTATCATTCAGATTTGATGAAAAAAAGAAAGAAACTGAGCTTACCATCTATAATCGAATACACATATTCAGTTAATAGATTGCCATGCAGAAAGTATTAAATACCATCAAGATTCATCAAATAATGCCCAGTTTGTGCTACCGTTTAGTTTTTAAGAAACACCATTAAGTTTTGACATCGGTCATCTAGTTTATAACCATTTAGTTTAGTTTTGATATTGGTCATCCAGTTAATGACCATTTAGTTTCATAAACTAGACAACCGATGTCAAACTAAACGGTAGCACAAACTGGGCGGTTTTTGATGAATCTTGATGGTATTTAACACTTTCTGCATGGCAATCTATTAACTGAATATGTGTATTAGATTATAGATGGTAAGCTCAGTTTCTTTCCTTTTTTCATCAAATCTGAATGATACCCGGTCCCTAGTGTATAGTATTATTCTAGAAATTCTTAGTAAATATGTTGTGTAAAATCTAAAACCACTCATGTCCTGGAATGGAATAGGTTTTAAAATGTCATCAGAAAAATATTTTGATCAATTGAAACAAACATTCACAGGGGTCAAATATGAATCAGAGTATGAAAGGGGTCAAATATGAATCAGAGTATGAAAGGAGTCAAAATATAGCGACTCAGAGTCAGAACTGAGTATATGAACTGAGTCAGATCTGATTCAGAGTATATGAAAGGAGTCAGATCTTAATATTATGAGTCGGAATGTGTTTATTTTTGTTAATCAAGCTCCCCCACTTTGGAAAATACACAAAATAAAGTCTAAATACTAACATTTTCTCAACAAATAATTATGTACAATACCTTATAGATTTGATCCTTAATAGTTTGTCTGTGTTAATTCCATTCTTCATATGAACATATAGAATTATGTTGTAGACCTTAAATCATCATTGAAACTTAACTAGTGCAACTAGCTGTAATTTGAATAATATAATGATTCGTTCCTGCTAGGAGTGTCACATTTTATGACAGGGACAGGACAAATGATGTCAAGTGCTTCTAGCAATATATTTAAAGAGACACAAATACTTATCACTTAGAAATTTAATATCTTATCTCCTGTAATGTCTGTCAAAAGGAGCTAAGTGTAATTGTCTTGAATAGGTCTAAATAAAGTATTTGTTGTTTTTGAGTATTTGTTGCATTTGAGTATGTTTAAATAATGGATTTGTTACGTTTGAGTATTGGTTGTGTTTGAGTATCTGTTGCAGTTAATTAAGTATGTCTAAATAAAATATTTGTTGCATTTGTGTATTTGTTGTGTTTGAGTATTTGTTGCATTTGTGTATTTGTTGTGTTTGAGTATTTGTTGCATTTAAGTATGTCTAAATAAAATATTTGTTGCATATGAGTATTTGTTGTGTTTGAGTATTTGTTGCATTAGAGTATTTGTTGTGTTTGAGTATTTCTAAATAAAGTATTTGTTGTGTTTGATTAAATGACATTTAGAAGTAGAGGTATAATATTCATAATAACACAACTTTATGGATTTACTACTTCATGGTTTATTACATAAATCCATAAAGCTGTGTTTATATTATGAATACTATACCTCTACTTCTAAATGTCATTTAAGAATGCGTGGTTTCGAATCCCCGGTTGTACGTGACAAGGAGTAGGGTCGCCTGTCCAACCTCGTGGGTTTTCTCCAGGTCCTCCGGTTTCCTCCCACTGCTAAAGACCCCTACGCGCAAGCGAATTATGTAAATAGAATTAAACCATATGTTAGTCCCGAAATGACTGGTTTGTGTCGAGTGGACGTTTAATCCCATCTCTCTCTCTCTCTCTCTCTCTCTCTCATTTAAGAATATTATCAAACATCTGTATGGTGATGAGACAATTAGCATTGCTTGATAAAGAGTATTGAAACGTTGCATGTAATAACCAAGAAATAGTAAATCCATAAAGTTGTGTTATTATGAATAACGATCTAAGTCACTTTTTTAACGAACCCCAATTAATGGCGCCATCTGATAGCAAATTGTATAAGCTTTCTGTGGAACAATCAGTTTCAGGTAAAAACGATCAGAGTCACATCGAACCAAGGCCCTTCTGAAATGGCCTCCCGGACAAATATGTCCATCGTACCCTTTATTTGACCTTAATTTGGCTGAAAAGTGGAAGTCAGTTGTTGTACTGGTAATTATGATTCATATTAAACATCATTTCGAAGTTGTAATTAAACCCACTCGTTGTAATGTTCGCGCCAAGCATTCTCATCCAAAAGTCTGTTTTGCCTTTTATGTGAAAAGACAAAAATGTGACTTAGATTGTTCTTCCCCTGGACTCTTCAAATGTTTAGTTCATAAATATTGTTGTAGTTTTTACTTTCATTTCTTTTAATTAGATATTTTAATACAGACATGATTAAAACTATAATTATATGAACTAATAAATTATATTTAGATTTATTAAAAGATAGAAAGAGGATTGGGGTTTAACATGAATTTGACGCACAAACTAGGTCACTTCAGGGGTAAACTATGGCACTATTTTATTTCAATAATGCGCTTGGGCTTAGGGGTCTTTAGCAGTGGGAGGAAACCATAGGACATGTAGAAAACTTACAAGGTTGGGCAGGTCACCCTTCTCCTTGTACATGCTTGGGATTGAAACCACTCCACTTGTGTCAATGATAGACCACCCAACCACTACCCCCACCCCCCACCCCCTCATCATCTGTTATACAGACAAGATTAGGCTAATTACACATGTACTCGTAATTGTATCAGTTCATTAGATTTGACATAATTTAACATCATTTTAATATCTTCCTGTAAAATAGTCGGTTAAAAGCTTTAGGGAAATTAAATTCTAGTGGGTTAACCTTGTTATATAGCCTGATGAGTCTATGATGGTCTCATAACTGTTGACCACATCATGAAATGCCTTAGGGCATTTAATTAATTACACAGGGTTTTTATTTCCATTAAATTTTTATTCATTTTTCGTCAAGCAAGATTTTTGACCTAACAGAACATATGAAGATGTTAAACCCCATTGCCTCCTCAGTTATAGTTAGGCAATGTACTTATTAATGAGGTTTTGAATTGTTGCCTGTCCAACCTCATGGGTTTTCTCCAGGTCCTCCGGTTTCCTTCCACTACTAAAGACCCCTACGCACAAATGAATTATTGAAATAAAATTGACCCATATGTTAGTCCCGAAATGATCTAGTTTGTGTTGAGTGGACATTAAACCCTATTTCTCTCTTTCTCTCGATCATCTCTTAATTCAGACTAAAACAGGCCAGACATATTACAAGTGATGTGCCCAACAGCAGAGAACGTCTCTCTTCTTAGAGGCCAGATGATTATTTTATTAAGTGCTTGCAGGATTCTGTTTTCTGTTACAATTTTAATGAATAAACCAAGACAAGTCAACATTGAGAAAAATAGACTTTCTTTGATTTCTTAAAAAGACAAGGAAACAAATTCTTTGATTTTCCGATGTCAAGTATTGATTGACATCCAATAACATTTCTAGCCTTTGTGCTATATGGTACCGTATTTACTTTTCACTTATTCTTCTTTTTCCTATGAGGTGAAATGAAATGAAATGAGGTTTAACGTCCTACTGTTCTGCTCCAAACTGGGCTAATGAAGACAGGCATATGCCATACAGTGTGCTATAAGGGAAATTTTGCCCAGACAGCAGCACTACTACGGCCTACTCTTATATCACATTCCATCTGTCAAGGGATCTTTTACATGCACGCCAATGTGTACAACGGGACCTTGGTTTTTTGTCCCCTCGTAACGACTAGACAGCTGTCCTTGTCAGACTCACTGTCCAGCATCACTTACAAGTGGGAACAACGTGGGAAAATCTGGACGATTGCAGGAATCGATCACTCGATCTCCAGGCTAGCGAGCCATGGTCTTACTCACCTAGCCAACGTGACCCCCTTTCCCATTGGGTAATATCACAACTCAGTATAAGGCTACTAATAAGGCAGTACATAAATAAGGCGAATAAGGTCATATTACAGCTTGATATTATACAGCTTGATAAATTGGAAATAACTCGGGCAATATCACAACTCAATATAATGAAAATATCTATCTATGTTAGCCTTCTCATTTTCTGGTGCCCAATCACCAGGCTACCACACCTACATACATTTTTCACCAGGTCCAATTTTCAAATTATAAAATCCTAGAATAGTCATAGACATAGTGAACTGGTGACGTTATAGACAGGCAACTCATTATCATTGCGGGTGGGGGGGGGGGTAACGCATGCGCATGGTTTCAGAAGGCCTGTCATTGAGTCAAGTGGCGTAGTTTCGATTCCCCGATTGTATGCGACAAGGTGTACGGTCGCATTTCCTACCTCGTTGGTTTTCTCCGGGTCCTCCAGTTTCCTCCCATTGCTAAAGAACCCTGCGCGCAAGCAAATTATTGACATAAAATTGAAGCATGTGTTAGTCCCAAAATGACCTGGTTTGTGTCAAATGGACTTTATAGCCCATCTCTCTCTCTCTCTCTATCTCTCTCTCTCTCTCTCTCTATTTACCATCAGTTTTTCAAAACATTTCCCATGCACATTTCTTCCAGTCTGTATCTGAAATAGTGTATACCGATCATTCAATCAGATAGGTCCCGAAATATCAGATTAATGAATGGAACTGGAACAGATTGATTGACACATATACTCAATTACAGGTCAATTACAGGTCACTCACCTATGAATAAATTTGTATAAGACTATAAATATGGAATGTCTGCTGACTTATCTATTAAATTGTGCATGACACCGTGATGTCAATAACTTCAAAATAACACCACTTACTTAAACATACATTATGCAAGAGCTAAATCTGCCTATTGTAGGTCTTCCTTTAGGCTTGAAATGTTATATAAACTATTAATTAGACATTTATTAACGTATCCAGACTATAATCAACTCTCGATGTCAACGTTAGCCTGCGATAATTGTTGGATTATGATCCGATTTGCTGCATAACTTTCCTTCTCGATTTAACAATTAAATGGATAATCGAGACTATGATTTTTGTCGTACCGACTTTAGTAATGATGACCGAGGCTATGCGGAACTTTCGATCGCCTATTTCTGGGTTCATAGTGGATCAATTTGACTGAAATTTTCAGCAAATTGCCTTTGCATTATCTAGTTTTTAACTATTATAGTGAGAACTGCCAACTCGTTATCTAATCTCCAATTAAAATAATTGAACCATTGTAACTATTTGTACATAATTCACAATCAAAATCATGGGTCAAGGTTAGTTTTTGGATAATTTTGGCTTCAGACCAAGGATGAAATAAATAACTTAAAAATAACCCACTTATTTAAAAAAATGATTTAATAGAATTGAACTCTGATATATAGTTATTGTAAATACCTCACAATCAAAATAATAGTATCTCATTGGGTCAAGGTTATTGAGGACTTTGGGTTCAGACTTGTTAGGAGGGTTGAGTGTTCTAATGCTTGAATGTTTTGGAACCCAAGGTCTGTCATTGAATTGAGTAGCGTGATTTTGATTCCACACTTGTACATGACAAGGAGTTGCCTAGCCTTGTGGGCTTTTTCCAGACCCTCTGGTTGCCTACAATTGCCTAAGACCTATACCTCATGTAAGCGAATTATTGAAATAAAATTGTACCATATGTGTTAGTACCAAAATTAGTCTTTAAGTGGAGGTTAGACTCTCTCTCTCTCCCTCTCTCTCTCTCTCTCTCTCTCTCTTTCTCTCTCCATTTTAAGTGTCATTATTGCCCCAGAAAAAAACAATTTGAAAGCTATATTATTAGCTAACCCTGGTAAATTGCTGGTGATGGATGTATGTATTCGTTGCCCCACAACATTATGTTTTGGAATTCTGATATTTGTAATCTGTAGCAGTTCTCAAGTCATTATCTTATGGCTTTTATCTTCTTGGTGACCCGGA